TGTCTACAGCGGTGTATGATTAACAGTTTTAGTGGCGATTTGCTATAGTATATTCTATGTCGTAAACATAAATTAACCATTCTACGCAAGATTATGCTTAATGGCGCGCAGTTTCTTCAGAATTAAATTTTTTGCCATATTTTATATATCGTACTCACAGTACGGCAATGGTGGAAATTTGATTATGCTACTGTCCCGTTTGATTTTAGAGCCTGCAAAGCCGTTTGTTAATTAGAGCCACATTACGTTTCTTGCAAACGGTAAACTTGGTTAGTATTTTGGCACCTTAGAAGCTAAGCTAATTATCATTTCACCTATCAGCAATCTGAAGCATAATTATCGACAATCCGACAGGTAGAATATTGAATCTTCTATGGTTCATAATTGATATATATTAAAGTAATATTAGCTCAGGACATTTCACTTCTTTGTCAACCTACAAACAGACATCTTACCATACTGAAGACAAAGTTATGATAGTTGCTTTTCGCAGGAGTTAACTGTAATACTTAAATCATAATTGCATTTATTGAGCGTACAATATTTGATCTGGTCGCATTTATTGCCTATCCAAAACATGTCTGCACGTAGTTGGAATTCATTGCAAACTGGTATGAGTTTGCTTTATTTTTCTTGTTCACCTTCGTTGCGCGTGCTTGTGATTCAACTTCTAGGTAAACTTATATCAAGTACACTATCAGATTATAGGTGTTCATTCCTAAAATTGCCTTGCTTTACCTATAAATGATCTGTAAGTCTAACTGCTGTGCACATCGTTACGTTTTCGTTATTTTATGATAAGAAAAAACTTATTTAGGGTAGTTTGTTCCTGCGTTATTTTTCAAACATCAGCAGCCCAGGAACTGTGCATTAATTTCAAAGATATACAACATGTTTAGAGGATGGATAAATTTTTAACCAACGTTTCAGTTTTCATCTTATACACCTTATTGAAATTGTCATGGTTATAATTACTATTATTGTTCTTAATCTTTTGGTAAGTCACGAACGGGAAGACCACGCGTAAAATGTTCTTTACTTAGAGACATCTGACGTTTCGGACCGAACTCGGTCCGTCTTCAGAGTACATTAACAAGGGCACGTAATATTTCTCCTTATCTTACTCGTGCCGTGCGTGT